GAAAGCGGGAGAATGGGGCGGGGTCATGGAAAGCGGGAGAATGGGGCGGGGTGATGGAAAGCGAGAGAATGGGGCGGGGTGATGGAAAGCGGGAGAACGGGGCGGGGTGATGGAAAGTGGAAGAATGGGGATGGAAAGCGGGAGAATGGGGATTGAAAGCGGGAGAATGGGGCGGGGTGATGGAAAGCGGGAGAATAAGGCGGGGTGATGGAAAGCGGGAGAATGGGGCGGGGCGATGGAAAGCGGGAGAGAATGAGGCGGGGTGATGGAAAGCGGGAGAATGGGGCAGGGTGATGGAAAACGGGAGAATGGGGCGGGGTGATGGAAGGAGGGAGAATGGGGCGGGGTGATGGAAGGAGGGAGAATGGGGCGGGGTGATGGAAAGTGGGAGAATGGGGTGGGGTGATGGAAAGAGGGAGAATGGGGCGGGGTCATAGAAAGCGGGAGAATGGGGCGGGGTGATGGAAAGTGGGAGAATAGGGCGGGGTGATGGAAAGTGGAAGAATGGGGATGGAAAGCAGGAGAATGGGGCGGGGTGACGGAAAGCGGGAGAATGGGGATGGAAAGCGGGAGAATGGGGCGGGGTGATGGAAAGCGGGAGAGAATGAGGCGGGGTGATGGAAAGTAGGAGAATGGGGCGGGGTGATTGAAAGCGGGAGAATGGGGCGGGGTGATGGAAGGAGGGAGAATGGGGCGGGGTGATGGAAAGAGGGAGAATGGGGTGGGGTGATGGAAAGCGGGAGAATGGGGCGGAGTGATGGAAAGCGGGAGAATGGGGCGGGGTGATGGAAAGCAGGAGAATGGGGCGGGGTGATGGAAAGCGCCAGAATGGGGCGGGGTGATGGAAAGCGGGAGAATGGGGCGGGGTGATGGAAAAAGGGAGAATGGGGCAGGGTGATGGAAAGCGGGAGAATGGGGTGGGGTGATGGAAAGCGGGAGAAGGGGGCGTGGTGACGGAAGGAGGGAGAATGGGACGGGGTGGTAGAAAGCGGGAGAATGGGGCGGGGTGACGGAAAGCGGGAGAATGGGGCAGGGTGATGGAAAGAGGGAGAATGGGGCGGGGTGGTGGAAAACGGGAGAATGGGGCGGGGTGATGGAAAGAGGGAGAATGGGGCGGGGTGATGGAAAGCAGGAGAATAGGGCGGGGAGATGGAAAGCGGGGGAATGGGGCGGGGTGGTGGTAAGCGGGAGAATGGGGCGGGGTGATGGAAAGCGGGGGAATGGGGCGGGGTAATGGAAAGCTGGGGAATGGGGCGGGGTGATGGAAAGCGGGAGAATGGGGCGGGGTGATGGAAAGCGGGAGAATGGGGCGAGGTGATGGAAAGCGGGAGAATGGGGCGGGGTGATGGAAGGAGGGAGAATGGGGTAGGGTGATGGAAGGAGGGAGAATGGGGCGGGGTAATGGAAGGAGGGAGAATGGGGTAGGGTGATGGAAGGAGGGAGAACGGGGCAGGGTGATGGAAAGTGGGAGAATGGGGCGGGGGGACGGAATGCGGGAGAATGGGGCGGGGTGATGGAAATCGGTAAAATGGAGCGGGGTGATGGAAAGCGGGAGAATGGGGCGGGGTGATGATAGGAGGGAGAAAGGGGCGGGGTGATGGAACGCGGAACAATGGAGCCGGGTGATGGAAAGCGGGAGAATGGGGCGGGGTGATGGAAAGTGGGAGAAGGGGCGTGGTGATGGAAAATTGGAGAATGGGGCGGGGTGATGGAAGGCGGGAGAATAGGGCGGGGTGATGGAAAGCGGGAGAATGGGGCGGGGTCATGGAAAGCGGGCGAATGGGGCGGGGTAATGGAAGGAGGGAGAATGGGGCGGCGTGGTGGAAAGCGGGAGAATGGGGTGGGGTGATGGAAAGCGGGAGAATGGGGCAGGGTGATGGAAAGAGGGAGAATGGGGCGGGGTGGTGGAAAGCGGGAGAATGGGGCGGGGTGATGGAAGGCGGGAGAATGGGGCGGGGTGATGTAAAGCAGGAGAATAGGGCGAGGTGATGGAAAGCGGGGGAATGGGGCCGGGTAGTGGTAAGCGGGAGAAGGGGCGGGGTGATGGAAAGCGGGAGAATGGGGCGGGGTGATGGAAAGCGGGAGAATGGGGCAGGGTGATGGAAAGCGGGAGAATGGGGCGGGGTGATGGAAAGCGGGAGAATGGGGCAGGGTGATGGAAAGCAGGGGAATGGGGCGAGGTGATGGAAAGCGGGAGAATGGGGCGGGGTGATGGAAAGCAGGAGAATGGGGCGGGGTGATGGAAAGTGGGAGAATGGGGCGGGGTGCTGAAAAGCAGGAGAATGAGGCGGGTTGATGGAAAGAGGGAGAATGGGGCGGAGTGCTGGAAAACGGGAGAATGGGGCGGGGTGATGGAAAGTGGGAGAATGGGGTGGGGTGATGGAAAGAGGGAGAATAGGGCGAGGTGATGGAAAGAGGGAGAATGGGGCGGGGTGATGGAAAGCGGGAGAATGGGGCGGGGTGATGGAAAGAGGGAGAATGGGGCGAGGTGATGGAAAGAGGGAGAATGGGGCGGGGTGATGGAAAGAGGGGGAATAGGGCGGGGTGATTGAAAGCGGGAGAATGGGGCAGGGTGATAGAAAGTGGGAGAATGAGACAGGGCGATGGAAGGAGGGAGAATGGGGCGGGTTGATGGAAGGAGGGAGAATGGTGCGGGGTGATGGAAAGCGGGAGAATGGGGCGGGGTGATGGAAAGCGGGAGAATGGGGCGGGGTGAAGGAAGGACACGGTGAGAGCTGTGAGGGTATGGATGTTGAATGCGGTAGAGTACGGTGCAGTGTGTGTGGTGGAGCAGGCAGTGTGGTGGCTCACTTTTTGCATGCGCTGTGTGATCAAACGTGCGATAAGAATGCAGGCAAGCAAGCTGCTGGCCCCGCCGCACGCCGCGGGTCACCTCCACGCCCACCGCCCTCTCCGTCACCTCCACGCCCACGGCCCTCTACGTCACCTCCACGCCCACCGCCCTCTCCGTCACCTCCACGCCCACCGCCCTCTCCGTCACCTCCACGCCCACCACCCTCTCCGTCACCTCCACGCCCACCGCCCTCTCCGTCACCTCCACGCCCACCGCCCTCTCCGTCACCTCCACGCCCACCGTCCTCTCCGTCTCCTCCTCGCCCACCCCCCTCTCCGTCACCTCCTCGCCCACCTCCCTCTCCGTCACCTCCACGCCCACCGCCCTTTCCGTCACCTCCACGCCCACCGCCCTCTCCGTCACCTCCACGCCCACCGCCCTCTCCGCCACCTCCACGCCCACCGCCCTCTCCGTCACTTCTACGCCCACCGCCCTCTCCGTCACCTCCACGCCCACCGCCCTCTCCGTCACCTCCACACCCACCGCCCTCTCCGTCACCTCGCACACAAACCGCCGCACCACCGCCAGACTCAACTACGGCGCCAGTAGGGGAGGTGCGGTGGGGGATGCTTGTGGCATTCCGAATTGGAGCCGCAAAGCAGTGCGCTCTGGACACGCGCTCCGATGCGCACCTTGCGAGCACAGCCTTGTCCACACCTGCTACAGGCTCCAGCTCAGCTGTTCGAACACCGCCGCGCGCACCACCATGCGCCGTGCGCGCGCCGCGCGCTGCTCTTCGCTAGCAGCCCAGGAGGCCCAGCGATTCCGCGAACGCAGTGGTGTGCTGGCGGCGAACTGCGACGATCGCAGAGGCGGTTGGGCAACTACTCGAGGAGTCGCACGCGGGGGTGCTGTGACGGATGCGAGGTGGGCGTGCGATGTGAGCAACACGGCGAGCTGCTGCGAGTTGAGCGTCGCGGCCATGGTAGGATGAGGCGCAGCACGGACAGGCCTCTCGTTATCAGGGTAAAATACCCTTTTTGCACTGACTGGCGGCCGCTTTTTTTCAGTTACCCTTTCACAGGCAGGGTAGTGGATTTTTTACCCTAGGCCAGAAAGTGTAAGTTTTTCAATACCCTTTGAAAAGCAGCATAAGGAACACATTACTCTGACTGTACAGTGTACAATCCAAGCTATACTGGTACTGAGTGCTCCGTAGCGAGACGAAACACTATACAGGTCCCTGCAAAACGATCAAATAGCGAGACTTGAACTTGCGACCTTGCGATCTAATGCGCAATTGTACCAGCTGAAATACTAGCCGTTGATTGTGAGTGCTTCGGGATTTTAACTAACCACAAATTTTTAAGAATACCCTGCCCAAACAGACTAACTGTTTTTTTACCCTGCATTTGACAGGGAAACAAAAATTTTACCCTACGCATCAGGGTTGACTATACCTAGAACCCTTATTACTAAGGGTGGCCCAAAACGAATCTGAAGCCCTGAGCACGGAGGGTCGTCATCCTTACTCCTCGTGAAGAAGCTCTGTGAGGCGTTTTGGGTGGGAAGTGACGGGCGACGCGACGAACTCCAATGCTGCGACCGTGGACGAACGCTGCTGGAACCTCCTTTATTGAGCGGAAAGTGATTTTGTTGTATTCTAGGTTCGCCTTATGTTTTCTATGTTTAGTGTAAATGTATTTAACAACCACACATCTACCTACCTTCTTTCTTATCTTCTTATGCATTCTATACCATAATTAACCAATAATTTCTAGAGATTGAAATATGAGATGCGATACATTGGCATTACTTTTCCACAACCTGCTGAAAGGGGCTTGCCTTTTGTAGTATTTGGAAGGAAATTCTTCTCTGTATAACATTTCACATATCAGAAGGAGAACATCTTAAAACCCGCAGCCTGAATTACAAAAACGAGTCAACGATTGGTTTGGGAAGAGGTTGGGGAGAGGTGCGGATGGGTGGGTGACACTTTCGGTTTAGCAAGTCGGCTCATAGCACGAATAGCCGATCAAAACGTTTCTCCGTCGCGGTGGCATCTGGCGCGGAAGTAGAGTCATCGCAACGGAATTTGTCCGCCATAACAGCCTCGTGCGCGCGCTTCAGTCACCGCTCTCAACCGTTCGCCTCGTTCCCGCCCGTGTGTTCCCCCTGCGCGCGCCACTCCCCGCGCCCGCCCGCCATGACCTATTACCGCGCGCGCGGACACCCCCTCGATTCCCTCGTCGACCTCTCGCACCTCTCCTCCCTGCCCTCGCCCGCACACCCCTTCGCGCCCACCCGCAACGCACATGCGCTCGCGCAGCGGTTCTCCGCGCCCACCTCCCCTTCCGGCTCCTCCGTTCACTCCGCCTTCGGCCCCTCCTCCGCTTCTGTCGTTCTCCCCCCTTCCTCCGCCTCCGCAATCCTTCCGCCCCCTGCCCGCGGAGGCTCCGCCAACTACCGCTTCGCGCTGACCAAGCCTGGCGCAGGGGAACCAGGCGGAGGGGGAACAGGCGCGGGCGGGGTAGGGGAATGGGTGGCGGAAGTGCACGCGCAGCAGAGAGGGAATGATGGGACGGGGGAAGGGGCTGGGCGAGGGGAAGGGCAGGGAAGCTCCGCGGAACGGGGGGAATCGACGCGAGGGGGTGAGAAGGTGTGGAGGTCCCGCGTGGACATAGGCGGGTCAGTGGAGGGTGGCGGTGGGTCAGGGGGGGAGGGAAGGGGAAAGCAAGGCGAGGGGAGCAATATGAGTCTCGAGGTGAAAGCAACAGCTGCTGCTCGTATTGCTGCTGCTGGTACTGCTGCTGCTGCTTCTGCTCCTCCTGCTGCTGTTGTTCCTGAAGATACTGCTGGTACTGCCACTGGTACTCTCGCTCCCCCTGCTCCCACTGCTCCTCTCCGCCCGCCCTCCCCGTCCCCCGCCTCCCTTGCTGCGCGTGCCTCCGCCTCGCCCCTCCACGCCCACACGTCATCCCGCCCCTCCCCTTCCCCTGCCACCCCCGCCCCAACACTCCCTGCTCCCTCCACTCCCTCTACTGCTCCCGCACCAGCAGCAGCAGCACCACCACTAGCACCAGCAGCACAAGGAGCATCAGAAGAAGCATCAGCAGTAGCAGCACCACCAGCAGCAGCAGCAACCGGCGCCACTGCTCCACCTGCCCACATTCACCACTCCTTCTCGCGCACCTCCTCCTCCTCTAATCCCACAGCGCTCCACTCATCACCCACCCCATTCCCCCTCTCCCCACGCTCCGTCCCGCTCTCCTCCCCTTCCCGCCCGCACCCTGCCCTGCCCCTCTCCCCCTCCCCCACATACGACCTCCCTATCGCGCATTACAGCTCCTCCCCCTCCGCCAGTGCTTCCCCCTTCCCCCCTGCGCGCAGCCCCTTCTCTCCCCCGTCCGCAGAGCTCCTGGCAGGCGCAGCGGCGAGAGGGGCGGGCAGGGCGGGCAGGGAGGGGGGCATGGCGCGGGGAGGGGCGGAGCAGCTGTGGCGGGAGCGGGTCCTGGCAGCAGCAGGGGCGGCAGGGGGGGCTGCGCCCTCCGCTGCCCCCCCACCAGCAGCACTGGCGGTGGGGGGAGCAGCAGGGGCGGGGGAGTTGGTGGTGGGGGGACAGAGGGTGGACGCGGGGGGGCTTCTGGGGGGAGTGATGGCGCAGAGGCGCGCAGTGGGAGGAGGGGGGAGAGGGGGGGCAGGGGGTGTAGGTGGAATTGGGGCATGGTATGGGGTGGGCGGGGCAGGGGGGATGGGGGGGGAACAGTATGGGGATGGGTACGGGGAGGCGCATAAGAGGAGGCGGAGGGGGGTGGTGGGGTTGGCGGTGGGAGCAGCAGAGCAGGTGTGGCGGTGGTGGCAGGAGGCAGAATGGGTGAGAGACTGGGCGGGACTTGGCAGGGACGGTAGGGATGGCAGGGAAGAGAGGGATGGGAGAGAGGGCAGAGATGGGAGAGAGGGCAGGGATGGGAGAGAGGGCAGGGATGGGAGAGAGGGCAGGGATGGGAGGGAGGGGAGGGGAGTACGGAGAAGGCAGGTGGCGATGGTGGGGTTGGGTGCAGTGGGCTGCTGTGTGGTGGTGGGGCTGCTGCTGCTGCTGCTGCTCGCTAGCCCGTCCCTGCCCTCCACTCGCAAGGTGGGCCACCATCTTGTGCTGCTGCCCACTCGTGCCTTGCTGCCCCTGCTTTCACCGCGCTGCTGCCGTCCCTCCCATGCTGCTGGCACCACTCACTCACTCGACCTCAGGAGCAGCAGCGGGGCAGGGCGACCTGCTGCTGCACGCGCAGGAGGACCTGGCCCACCTGGAGGGTGCGGAGGGGGCGTCGTTCCCCCATGCCCCTCACTCCTCGTCCCTCCCACCCCCCACGCAGCAGGAGGCAGGAGACCCGTCGCCCCGGGCGGCATCAGCAGCAGCAGCGGCAGTGCACAGCGACCTGCTGCTGCACGCCCAGGAGGACTTGGCTCGCCTGGAGGGCGCGGAGGAGGGGCAGTCGTGCTGGGCGCTGCACGAGCGCCCGCTGCTCCTTCCCCCCTCGCCCCACTCGCCCTCCCCCGCGCTGCTCTCTTCTCTCCGCGCCTACGAGCGCATGCACGAGGTGAGAAAGGGGTGGGGGAGGGGTGGTGGTGGGGTTGGGGGGGGAAGTGTGGGGGCTCAAGGGGGATGGTTCCCTGCGCTGCTCTCCGCGCCTACGAGCGCATGCACGAGGTGACGGGGGGGGGGGGGGGGGGGTAGTGGTGGTGGTGGGGGGGTTGTTGGGGGAGACGGAGTTGGTCGTTGTGGTGATGGTGGCATGCACACTCAACGTCTCGCTTTCCCATCCAACCGATTCTCGTCTCCCTTTGCCTCTCATCCATCTTGCTCTCTCCTCTCCTCTCCCCATGCGCTTCGCTGCATGCGTGCATCTCTCTCCCCGTGTGTGTGCGCGCACAGGAGTGTGTGGCGGGTGTGCAGAGCTGGGAGGCACACGCAGAGAAACTGGAGGCGCCACGAAGCACATGCAGGTGGGGGGGCGTGCAGGTGGGGGCGTGCAGGTGGGGGCGTGCAGGTGGGGGCGTGCAGGTGGGGGCGTGCAGGTGAGCGGCATGGTGATCTGAGAATTTCCGCCTTTCGACGCACCCCCACAGCACTCATAGCTCCCTCCTCCCTTCCCCATCTCTGCCCCCCACTCCCCCGCAGCTACCTGGTGTGGTACGAGCCACAGACACGCCCCAGTGTGGCACAGCGCCTGCTGTCGCTGCTCTCCGCCTTCCTCTATGCGCTGCTCACCCACCGCGCACTGCTCGTTGACACACAGGGCGACCTGCCCAGGTGAATCCCACACCCACACTGCCACCGCTTGTTGAGTCGACTCTAAGCTCGCCTTCCTCTACGCACTGCTCACCTAGGTCTGCTCGTCCACACGCAGGGCGACCTGCCCAGTGACGCACGTACTGCTTTCACTCCCTCATGCTGCTCTCCGCTTCACTCCCTCATGCTGCTCTCCGCTTCACTCCCTCATGCTGCTCTCCGCTTCACTCCCTCATGCTGCTCTCTGCTTCACTCCCTCATGCTGCTCTCCGCTTCACTCCCTCATGCTGCTCTCCGCTTCACTCCCTCTTGCTGCTCTCCGCTTCACTCCCTCATGCTGCTCGTTGACATGTCGGAATCTTCTGCATCACCTGCTCCTGTCCCCTCATTTCTGATAGGAGGGACTGATGGGAGGGACTGATAGGAGGGACTGATAGGTGGGACTGATAGGTGGGACTGATAGGTGGGACTGATAGGTGGGACTGATAGGTGGGACTGATAGGTGGGACTGATAGGTGGGACTGATAGGTGGGACTGATAGGAGGGACTGATAGGTGGGACTGATAGGTGGGACTGATAGGTGGGACTGATAGGTGGGACTGATAGGTGGGTGGGACTGATAGGTGGGACTGATAGGTGGGACTGATAGGTGGGACTGATAGGTGGGACTGATAGGTGGGACTGATAGGTGGGTCTGATAGGTGGGTCTGATAGGTGGGTCTGATAGGTGGGACTGATAGGTGGGACTGATAGGTGGGACTGATAGGTGGGACTGATAGGTGGGACTGATAGGTGGGACTGATAGGTGGGTCTGATAGGTGGGTCTGATAGGTGGGTGGGACTGATAGGTGGGTCTGATAGGAGGGACTGATAGGTGGGACTGATGATAGGAGGGACTGATAGGTGGGACTGATAGGTGGGACTGATAGGTGGGACTGATAGGTGGGTGGGACTGATAGGTGGGACTGATAGGTGGGACTGATAGGTGGGACTGATGATAGGAGGGACTGATAGGTGGGACTGATAGGTGGGACTGATAGGTGGGTGGGACTGATAGGTGGGACTGATAGGTGGGACTGATAGGTGGGACTGATAGGTGGGACTGATAGGTGGGACTGATAGGTGGGACTGATAGGTGGGACTGATAGGTGGGACTGATAGGTGGGACTGATAGGTGGGACTGATAGGAGGGACTGATAGGTGGGACTGATAGGTGGGTCTGATAGGTGGGTCTGATAGGTGGGTGGGACTGATAGGTGGGTCTGATAGGAGGGACTGATAGGTGGGACTGATGATAGGAGGGACTGATAGGTGGGACTGATAGGTGGGACTGATAGGTGGGACTGATAGGTGGGTGGGACTGATAGGTGGGACTGATAGGTGGGACTGATAGGTGGGACTGATAGGTGGGACTGATAGGTGGGACTGATAGGTGGGACTGATGATAGGAGGGACTGATAGGTGGGACTGATAGGTGGGACTGATAGGTGGGACTGATAGGTGGGACTGATAGGAGGGACTGATAGGTGGGACTGATAGGTGGGTGGGACTGATAGGTGGGACTGATAGGTGGGTGGGACTGATAGGTGGGACTGATAGGTGGGACTGATAGGTGGGACTGATAGGTGGGTGGGACTGATAGGTGGGACTGATAGGTGGGACTGATAGGTGGGACTGATAGGTGGGACTGATAGGTGGGTCTGATAGGAGGGACTGATAGGAGGGACTGATAGGTGGGACTGATAGGTGGGACAGATAGGTGGGTGGGACTGATAGGTGGGACTGATAGGTGGGTGGGACTGATAGGTGGGACTGATAGGTGGGACTGATAGGTGGGACTGATAGGTGGGACTGATAGGTGGGACTGATAGGTGGGACTGATAGGTGGGACTGATAGGTAGGACTGATAGGTGGGACTGATAGGAGGGACTGATAATTGGGACTGATAGGTGGGACTGATAGGTGGGACTGATAGGTGGGACTGATAGGTGGGACTGATAGGTGGGACTGATAGGTAGGACTGATAGGTGGGACTGATAGGTGGGACTGATAGGTGGGACTGTCGGAAACTTCTGCATCACCTGCTCCCACTCGATGGCTGCCCACAGTGGCTTAGCTACCTATCAGTCCCTTCCCGCGCTCCTCCTGGTGGCTGCCTGCTCTGCCTCATTCACTCTGCCACATCCCTCCCCCGTCTCTCCCTCTTTTCATCTCCCCTCCCCTCCCCCCCTTCCCTCCAGTCTGCTGTGCAACCCCTTCCCGCGCTCCTCCTGGTGGCTGCCAGCGGGCCTGCCAGAGCATTTCCGCCTGCACCCGCCGCACCAGGGCGAGTGGGTCAACGGCAGCACCAGCAACAGCTTCTTTGCTGTGAGTCGGTGTGAGCGCGAGGGATGGAGGGTAGAGAGGTGTGAGTGAAGGCATGAGAGAGGTGGGTGAACGGGAGAGAGAGGGGAGGGGGAGGAATGAAGGAGGAATGAGTGAGGAAAACGGGACGGGAGAGAGGGTGAGGATGGCTGCTGCTGTCGTCTTTTCACATGCACTTTCCTCTCCCTCTCCCTCCTTCCCCTTTTCAACGTATTCCTCTTTTCTTTGTCCCTTCGTCCCACCCCTTCCTCTTCCGGTCGTTCCCCCGCCAGCCACTCAACCGCAGGGACGTGGCGACCATCTACTTTGAGGTGAGCTTGCTGCCATGCCCATGCAGATGCACATGCACATGCACATGCACATGCACATGCACATGCACATGCACATGCACATGCACATGCACATGCACACGCACATGCACATGCACATGCACATGCACATGCACACGCACAGGCACATGCACATGCACACCACATGCACATGCACATGCGCACGCACACAAACATGCACACGCACATGCACAGGCACATGCACACGCACATGCCCATGCACACGCACATGCACATGCACACGCACATGCACATGCACATGCACATGCACATGCACACGCACATGCACACGCACATGCACACGCACATGCACACGCACATGCACACGCACATGCACACGCACATGCACATGCACAGGCACATGCACATGCACATGCACAGGCACATGCACAGGCACATGCACATGCACATGCACACGCACATGCACATGCACACGCACATGCACACGCACATGCACATGCACATGCACACGCACATGCACATGCACATGCACATGCACAGGCACACGCACATGCACATGCACATGCACATGCACATGCACATGCACATGCACATGCACACGCACATGCACATGCACATGCACATGCACATGCACATGCACATGTACCATAGTGCACGCATGCCACGCTGGACTTGCCTGCAAGCCTGGCTTGTCGTGTCCACACGCCATCGTCTCATTTGATCTGTCTGCCTCACTCAAAGCAACAAGCAGTGGTTTCGTTCTCATCCCCACCTCGCCCTCGCGGCCCTTCTTCACCTCCAACCTCTCCATGCATCCAGGATTTGAGGAATCCAGGAATCCAGGAATCCAGGCATCCAGGAATCCAGGAATCCAGGCATCCATGCGTCCATGCATCCATGCGTCCATGCATCCATGCGTCCATGCATCCATGAATCCATGCACGCCCATCCCATTTGGCCCTTCCCGAGTCCTCACGTGCTGCCCCTTGTCGGAGAATCATCCTCTGTTGCTTCCCGTGGCTTGCCTTCTCCTTCCCCGACTCACCCTCGCTCCCTTCTTCTTCTGAGCTCTGTTCCTGTCATACCTTACCTGCCCTGCCTCAGCCACTACCGAGAGATTCTGCATCCCCCACGTATGGCTGCCCACAGTGGCTTAGTCGCCTAAGCTGGAGTTAGCTATCAAACGGCAACCTATATCCACTATTACGAGCAAACAAACAAGAGAACGAACTAAGCAGTGAGTTCCTAGCCTATTTGAGTCTCTACCCCGTGCCATGCAGTTTCCCGTAAGTCACATTGGGCTCCGCCCGCTAGGCTTCAGATTGGCCCTTGGGATTGCCCAGGGCTCGCCCTTGAATTTGTCCCACCCTGCGCCTCGCAAGTCCCTGAGTCACCACTTCACGTCACTACCCACGCACCAAACTCACCTTCTACAGTACTTCCATTAACCCTACTACACCTACACTAGCGAGTAACAGAATATATTGCAAACAACAATCTATTCGGTGACACCCTTCCTTCACCATCCCTCTCCTTCCATCCACCCCATCCACCCGCCCCTTCCCCACCCCTCCAGGCACAGCGCTACCCATGGGACGAGCAGTTCTTCTGCTCCTCCATGCAGACCCAGCTGGCCCGCAACGCCACGTGGCTGGCAATGCTCTCAGACCAGCACCTGCTGCCCTCGCTCTTCCTGCTGCCCCATTCATTCCCTTCCCTCTTCTCCCCGTCCACCCCAATCACCTAACCCTTCCCCACCCCACAGGCACAGCGCTACCCATGGGACGAGCAGTTCTTCTGCTCCTCCATGCAGACCCAGCTCGCCCGCAACGCCACGTGGCTGGCAATGCTCTCAGACCAGCACCTGCTGCCCTCGCTCTTCCTGCTGCCCGCCTTCCACCGCCCGCTGCACCGCCTCTTCCCCTCCCGCGTGCTGCTGCACCCGCTCGCGCGCTACCTGCTGCTGCCCGCCAACGCCGTGTGGGAGCGCGCTCTGAGGGCGCATCAGGGCCACCTCGCGCATGCATGGCGGTCCGTGGGCGTGCAGCTTGCAAGTGGGGGGAGCGTTGCGATGAAAGAGGCGATGAGGGAGGTACGTGGGGGGTGATGAGAGGCGTGCAGCGTGCTTGTGCGGGGGGTGCCAGGGGGTGCGCGTGCGGGGGGGGGATGCCAGGATTTTCAGCGTGCTGCTGCACCCGCTCGCGCGCTACCTGCTGTTGCCTGCCAATGCCGTGTGGGAGAGGGCGCTCAGGGCGCACCAGGGGCACCTGGCGCACGCGTGGCGGTCTGTGGGCGTGCAGCTGGAGGCAGGGGGGACCGTGGCATCGAGGGAGGCGAGAGAGAGGTGGTTATGGGGGGGAAGGAATGAGGGTGTGGGGGGGGGGGGTGGGGGGGGATGCCAGGGGGTGCGTGCTGCTGCACCCGCTCGCGCGCCACCTGCTGCTGCCCGCCAACGCCGTGTTGGAGAGGGCGCTCAGGGCGCACCAGGGCCACCTGGTGCACGCGTGGCGCTCCGTGGGCGTGCAGCTGGCGGCTGGGGGGAGCGTGGCGGTGAAAGAGGCGATGAGAGAGGTGCGCTTTGAGGGGGAGGGGAGGGATGAGAGTTGTGAAGAGGATGGGAGGCGTGTGTGTGACGGGGATGGGATGCATGTGTGTGAGGTGGATGCCAGTGTTTGACTGCTACTCCCACTTGTGTGGAAGCAGCACGCATGTATTCCTCTCCCTCACCTCACCCTCTTGTCATCACCCCCCTTTCGACCCACCTCTCAACTTCCCCCCAGCAAGCCCTGGAGTGCGGCATGTCACACGGCGTGCTGCCGCTGCCCCTGGCGCCGTCGCAGCTCGCCGCCTTCCTCAACCACTCCTCCCGCGCGCGCCACTTCTCCCTCTCCTCCCGCTCCCTGCTGGATGGGGACAGAGAGGAGGGGGAGCGGGGAGGGCAGGGGGAAGGACAGGGGGAAGGGAAAGGGGTAGGGAAGGGGGAAGGGGTGCATAAGAAGGCAGGCAGCGGGGGGGGTAGCCCTCAGTGGCGGCGGTTTGGGCTCTTCTCTCGGCCGCAGGGTGGGGAGGGAAGGACGGCGTCACACAGCAAAGTGGGGAAGGTTGGAGCAGGCATGGGTGCAGGCATGGGTGCAGGCATGGGTGCAGGCATGGGTGCAGGCATGGGTGCAGGCATGGGTGCAGGCATGGGTGCAGGCATGGGTGCAGGCATGGGTGCAGGCATGGGTGCAGGCATGGGTGCAGGCATGGGTGCAGGCATGGGTGCAGGCATGGGTGCAGGCATGGGTGCAGGCGGGCACATCAGACAACACACTGGGGAAACAAGCTCCGTCTCTCATGATGCTGCAGGTGGTGGTGGTGGTGGTGGTGGTGGTGGTGGTGGTGGTGGTGGTGGTGGTGGTGGTGGTGGTGGTGCTGGCGATGCTAGTGAGGGTGAACCCGGCAGCAGCCGTGGCGTGGTGAGGGGGAGGGCGAGGGCACGGGTGGTGGCAGTGTTTGTGGCGGCGGACAGCTTCACGGCGTTCAAGTTCTTCAAACGCGCCTACGCGCAGTGGCCCACTGAGGACCACAGGTGAGCGCCTGCAAGTGAGGTGAATGGCATGAGAGGCATGGGGAGTGATCTGTGGCCCACTGAGGACCACAGGTGAGCGGCATGAGAGGCATGAGAGGCATGGCGCAGAGAGGTGAACAAGTGAGAGGCATGGGGCCCTTGTGGTTACTTGGTGTGTGGTTTCCCGGGCGACCGCATGTGTGGGTTCGGTGGGAGCAATGGAGGGCGGATTAGGTGCAGCACCAATGCACAGGTGAGCAGCATGAGAGTCATTGCGTAGAGAGGTGCACAAGTGAGAGGCATGGGGCCCTTGTGGTTCGTTGGTGTGTGGTTTGCCGCATGTGTGGGTTAGGTGGGAGCGATGGAGTGCGGATTAGGTGCAGCACCGTTGCTGCCCTCCCATCTCTGCCTCCCTTCACTTCTTTGCCTCTCCTCTCTATGCCTCATTCCATCCCCACCCATGCACGGCATGGCATGATGCCTCCCTGGGCTGGCATGGCATGAGCCCCCTCTGGGCTGGGCTGGCATGGCAGTGTGGTGGCGGTGCATGCTGAGGTGGAGGATGACTCGGAGGAGCGCCTGCTGTCGGCCAATCAGATGGAGATTTTGCGGATCTGGCTGCTCAGCACGTGCCACGTCATCATTGCCAGGTCAGCACGGTTGTTCCTCTCTCCCCTTCCCTTTTTCATTCCTCCATGCATTGCGTCTGTGCATCCTTGCACATGCCACATGCCAACACGGTGTTTGTTTCTCCTCGTTCTCCTTCTCCCACTCTCCTCCCTCCAATCTCCTCTGCCCCACACACTTCTCTCCACTCTTCCCCATCCCCCCTTCAGCCCAGAATCACCCGAGGGCTATCTAGCCAGCGGCCTTGCCGGCCGCCCACCCTTCCTGCTCTCACACCCCCCTGCCACCACCGCCACCACCGAGAGTCACCACGGCGATCCAGCAGCAGCAGCAGTGGCAGCCGCTGCAGCAGCAGCAGGCAGAGAGCACCAGGGGGGATGCACGCGCAGCTGGTCAGCAGAGGGGTGTCACCTGGGGGCTCCTCTCGCCCTCACGTGCTCGTCAGACCCGCGAGGGGACGGGTCAGGAGGGGTGAGGGAGCAAGGGCACCGCTCCTCCGACCCGGCGCGCTGGCTGCCTTTCCTGCGCCGCTGTGCTGACCACCCTCAAGGGCTTACGCTCCTGGCCAAGCTCACTCACCCTGACCCGTGATGGGTCGGCGTATGATGTGGTGTGAGGTGAAGTGACATCGTGTGATGGGAGGAATGTGTTTCCTCGAATGATGTGCTGAGCTGACCCAGAGGGGGTTGCGGATGTTGGGCTGAACGTCCTAGGATCTTTGGTAGAGTTAAAGTCTGAGTAAACGATGTGGTAGCGGAAGCGTTTTTTAGTAAAGTCCTTGAACCACCTTGCGCTGGTATGTGAGGGCAAAGTAAGTTGATTAAAGCAAAGAGATACAAGAATATATATGAATACAGAGAATATGAAGAGACGTAATTATAACTAATTTACTGTTGCGGTTCGATACAGTGCGACTCGGGCAACTGCTCAATGTCGAGTCAGTTGTGTGTCCTTGCTGTCGCGCTGCATTTGTCAGGTCAAAGGTTGCTGACCTTTGACTTTCGCGTAGCCTCCAGCGGTTACATCAACCTCCGAGGGTTGACTCGCTGGTGCTTCGATATGCGCTGCTTCGCTTGTGTCTTAGAGTTTCAACACGACAGAGGCGCTTAAGACTGTTTGTTCCCAACAGCGGAAAGGGCACAGTGATGTAGCAATGGGCTGGTTTGTCGACAAAGAACAATGATTTAGACAGTAGTCAAAGTGAACTTTATTGGCCTTACAATACCGTACAATACATGATTTATAAATCTAGCATGCGGTACATGTCTAACATATACACAGATTTTCACAGCGATATGCTTGCTGTGTGCTGCGGCACCTGCTGCCACTGCAGCGTTATTGTCTTCTTTATTGCACCCTCTTGCCTCAGCTCCCTTGCACCGCCACAAGGTATATAGGAGCACTGCTCCCTTGCAGCTGTGCGGCACACAGCTGCAATTTGTTTACAGGGGCATGCCGGCACCATTTGGTGTGCCCTTATTGGTTGGCGGAGGCACTGACCGCCAAGGGGGCGGTCCGTTCCCACAAGGGCAGCAGTGCAAGGGACTACAGGCAACTGAGGTCTCGCAGGGAGCGTTCTAGTCATGCACAGACGGGGGCTGTATCCTCAGGCAGGGAGGGGGATGGACGGGAAGGCAGAGAAGGCACAGTCCGGTCGGGTGATGGCAGACGTCACATAATCCCCCGCGGAGCCTTCCAGGAAACCATCCCCCTCCTCCCCCTCGTGCCCCGCGCGCAGCAGCAGCCCTGAGAGATGCGAGTACGTGAGATCCCTGTGCTGCCCGTCAGGCGTCTCCCGGAACGTCTGCCCCAACACGCCGTGGATGGCGGGCGTCGTCTGCAGGTCCATGAACTCGATTATGAAATGCGCCTCCGCCTCCCCCATGCTCTGCAGCAGCGGATGCGCCACGCGCGCGCGCACGTTGATCTCCGCCAGCCCCTGGATCATCACCGCGTATTGGTCCACGTCCATCCCCCCGTCTGTCTCTTCCGCCACCTTCGCCACTACCAGTCCCCCCGCGCCCTCCGCCGCCGCGCCCACCTCCGCGGGGACAGCGACCTGCACGCCGTCCATCTCCGCCAGCGCGAGAAAGCCCTCGCGCCCGCGCGCCTGCTGCTTCCCCCCGCGCGCGACGAGCCGAAGCGTGTGCGGGCGCCCCTCGTGCCCCACCCACACCACGCCCACCTCCTTGATCCACGCGCGCAGCCCCGCGGACCCGTGCGCGCGGACATGCGCGCGCGCGGTGGGAACGGATTGGCCGCGGAGAGCGGCGCCGGAAGCGGAGGCAGAGAGGGGGTCCGCGGGGAGGGCGGGCAGGCGGTCGGGGTCGTAGCCGGACAGGCGGATGTTGACGTGGATTCGGCGGTCGCTGAGTAGGCAGAAGGTGTTGCTGAGCTGGCTGTCGGGGTCCAGCGTGGCGAGGTCGGATTGAGTGGGGCGGCGGAGCGTGAGGGGGGAGGCGGGGATGGCGGAGGAGTTGCAGATGCCGCCCACCCTGTTGGCGGAGAAGAAGGGGGAGGGGGGGAAGGAGAGCGGGCAAGCAGAGGGTTAGAAGCGGAAGGATTAGGAATGGGCGGAGAGGGGCAGAGTAGACACGAGAAAAATCACGAATGAAAAAGAAGTGATGTGCGACGACGTGACATTGGAGAAAAGCGGAGGAGCGGTTCAAGGGCGGGTGGCGGAAGGGCGGGCGGTACCAGCTCTGCGGGAAGTAGGGCGCCATGATGCGCTGCTCCTCCGCCTCTCCGCTGTACGGCGTCTTGAAGTGCCCCGCCACGCCCGCTCCGCCGTCCGCCCCCAGCAGGTAGCACTGCGCGCCGGCCACGAACCCGCGCACGTTGGCGTTGCGGCGCTGCTGCGCGCTGGGGAACCAGTGGTACTGCAGGCACAGCGGGGACGCCGCGCACGCCGCGCAGCACCCCTCGAGCGTGCTGCCCGGGCGGCCCCGCACCACTTCCACGTAGTTTCCGACCTCCTGTTGCGAAAGGCGGGCGGAGGGGAGTGAGGAAGAGGAACATGAGACGGTGGCCGCGGGGGGCGACGGGCGTTGAATCATGGTAAAAACAGCAAAGAAAGCAAAGAACAGTTTTTTATGTGCAGCATGCGGAGCCTAGGGAAACGGACTGAAGGGAGGCGGCTAGCGGTGAGCAGCAGTGGGAGGTTGACTGACCTGGTAGACCTCGAGGTTGACGGAGCCCGAACCGTGCTCGTGGGGCACGAGGCGGCCGCCGTGGCTGTTGAAGGCGCCGTTGAACGACCCGATCTGATCGAATCGCCGGAAATTGACGGCGTTGATTCGCGCTCGCTCCAGGCCCCGCAGCTTGCCGCACTGACAGCCGTCCAATGGGAGATTGGCGGCCGAGGCTTGCCGGGCGACGAGGAGTAGGGTGAAGAGGAGCAGTACTGATACTACGGATAAGGGAAGACTAGCGCGAGCGGTGGACGGTTTGGCAGGAGCCATGGTGGCTAATGCGAGAACGTAAGACGGTAGGGTAACGACTGCTTGGCTTAGGACTGAAGCTGGGAGAGTTGAGATGAAACAGGCGTAATTGGTGAGGATAGTAGATTTGATGGTGTCCAGAGAAATGGGTGAAAGTGGTTGGGGTTATAAGGATGGAGGGATGTCTTGGTGCTAGACGTCAAGGATGCGACGAGGGAGCTGTAATTTCTACCGCAATTATTGGAGTCGCGTGATGGTGTTGCCTGGTGAGTCACCTGGTTGCTCTCCTGTGAATTATTCTGCAGGAAGCCATGGATGGAACCCTATTTTATTCCACCCGGATTGCGACCTGCAAAGCCACCCGCGCAGCGGACCCAGCTTCTTGAATCTTGCGCCCCGCTCTGCCCTTCCCCGCACAGCCTCTCCGCATGGGTTCCGTCAGGCGGAGGGGAAAATTTGTGTTGCATGTGTTGCTGACGGCGGCACCTGAGCGCCCAGCCTAGCTCGGGGGTGCAGTGGCGGGAGTGTTTTATTGGAGTTGCGGGAAATAATTCGATTTCGTTTCGCCTCATTTCGGAAGGCGACGCGTCGTAGCCCATGGTCTGAGTGGGCGATTGTGGCGAGCGAGCGACGCGAACTGGGTTTTGGAAATGCCGAGCCAAGAAAAACTGGACTTGATACAGCGGGCCTGGCGAATTTCGCCCAGCTCGGCGCGGAGCCTGGAGCGTTTGAGAGAAGGCCTTGGGGTTCGGGGTGTGGTGGGACTTGAGGTTTGCGAAAACGGAGCGATTGGAGGCTGTTCGCCGAAGCTGGGACGGATCGCGCGTGGAGTTGACAGCCAGACCCGTGTGGTGAGGTGTTGGCGACAGCCACGGAGTGTGTTGCCTAGTGGCAGGATCAGCGAGGCGAGAGACCGGCGTGGATTCGTGTGCTAACAGCGCGTACATGTAGATGCAGCACACATGGGAGGTATTAGGGAAACTATGCCACAAGTAACCAGCTTGGGACTCATTAACGTGAATGGTAAAAACAAAACGCGTACGGTCAGTGTACCGGTATCGGGTTTTCTGACGGGTTTGGTAAGCGGGGTCACGGATTCAGTCACTAAAAACAGGTAAAAAATCACGCGAATGGTCACACATGTAACTCCCGCCAAAAAAACTTGAAACTCAAAAAAATTCTCGCTCGCGCCCAACCAATCTGCGAACTTGTCAAAAAACTAAAACCCAATCGGAATCGGATGCGGTTTGGGAACGGATCAATCCTAAACACCTGGCGAGTTACATGTTTAGGGTTGGTCATCCGAAAATGCATCCAAGTGTTAGAATATATCTGTAACTGCCTGTAGCTGTAGTTAGTGTAGTTATTATAAACTTTCTTAGGTGGTGCACCTTCTTTGTTCATTTGCTATATGTTCTTGCAAACCTATAGTAAAGCCCCTCATTCTCTTTCAAAACTTGCTCGATACTTTTCTCACCCTCCTACTCAACTTACTCGACCTCACTAGCTATGGCTCCTAAGCCTCGCTAGATTCTTGACATGTTATCAGAGTGACCACGGTCCTTGCCTGTGGACCCACCCCATTGCTTCCGCTGCTACTCTGTGTTCGGCACGCCCCGTGGCGTGCCCCTTAACCTTTTTCTTAGCGGCCCCGTTGCCGCCCTTTCAGGCCCTCGAGGCCCCTTCGCGGCCTCGTCGCCGCCCTTTCAAAGGCCCCTCGCGGCCCCTTTGCGGCCCCGTCGCCGCCCTTCCGCGGCCCCGTGCCGCCCTTTCAAAGGCCCCTCGCGGCCCCTTTGCGGCCCCGTCGCCGCCCTTTCAGCGACCGTCGTCCCCCGCCCTTCAGCAGGCCTCGTCGCCCGCCCTTCAGCAGGCCCCGTCGCCCGCCCTTTCAGCGGCCCCACCGCCGCCCTTTCAGCGGCCCCGTCGACGTCGCCCACTTCGGACCCGTCGCCACCTGCGACCCCGCCCATTTGCGGCCCCGTCGCCACCTGCGGCCCCGCCACCTGCGGCCCCATCGCCACCTGCTGCCCCGTCGCCCACTTCGGCCCCGACGCCACCTGCGGCCCCGCCCACTTGCGGCCCCGACCCCGCCCCGGCCATGCCCCGTCGCCAGCCGCGGCACACCGGGGGCACGTGCACCGCCCCCCCCCC